CCGCTCCTCCCGCTGCTCCTTGTTCCTGCGCACCTCGGCCGCGTGCAGCTCCTGCGACGAGGGACGGGCTTGAGACGGGCCTGGGCCGGGCCGCGGCCTCCCGACTCCCCACCGGAGAGAGGGCGCCCCTTCCCGGAGCTGGACTTCAGAGCCAGCTCGCCCACTCCGGGTCCCACCAGGGCCCGGTTCCGGACCGGCGTGCGCTTCCGCAGTGCCCGACAGAGGGGAAGAAGGGGCCCCTACCGGGCCGTGCGGTGAGGTGCGGTCCGCCCCGCCGGGCCCGCCCCTCAAGCTCCGCCACTGACCCGCCCCTCAAGCTCCGCCCCAGGTCCCGTCCCCCAAGCTCCGCCACTGACCCGCTCACTGACTATCAGACTCCCCGCGGAGCTACAGTCCCCGCCCCTCAAGCCCCGCCCAAAGCCCCGCCCCTCAAGCTCCGCCCCAGGCCCCGCCCATCAATCTCCGCCACTGACCCGCTCGCTGACTATCAGACTCCCCGCGGAGCTACAGTCCCCGCCCCTCAAGCCCCGCCCCAGGCCCCGCCCATCAATCTCCGCCACTGACCCGCTCACTGCTACCAGACTCCCCGCGGAGCGACAGACCCCGCCCCTCAAGCCCCGCCCAAGGCCCCGCCCCTCAATCTCCGCCCCAGGTCCCGTCCCCCAAGCTCCGCCACTGACCCGCTCACTACCAGACTCCCCGCGGAGCGACAGGCCCCGCCCTCAAGCTCCGCCCCAGGCCCCGCCCCTCAAGCTCCGCCCCAGGCCCCGCCCCTCAAGCTCCACCACTGACCCGCTCACTGAGTACCAGACTCCCCGCGGAGCGACAGGCCCCGCCCTCAAACTCCGCCCCAGGCCCCGCCCTCAAGCTCCGCCCTGGGACCGCCCACTGAGTACTAGGCTCCGCCCCGCGCGCGCCAGCGCAGGCCCCGCCCACCTTCTCCCGCAGCCGCTCGCGCAGCGCCGCCAGGTGCGCCTCGCGGATCTCCTTGCTGAGCTCCATCTTGTAGTTGAGCTTCTCTTCTGCCTGGCGGCTGAAGTTGTTGTTCTCCTCCAGCGCCTTGTGCAGCACCTCGCGCTCGTGCTCACGCCGCTCCGCCAGGTGCTTCAGCACCTGTGCCTCCTGAGTCTGCGCGGGGCCGGGGGCAGAGGCTCAGACCCGCCTTCCCGGGACCCCCCCCTCCGCCTTCCCGGGACTCACCCCCGCCCCCCCCCCCCCCCCCCCCCCCCCCCCCCCCCCCCCCCCCCCCCCCCCCCCCCCCCCGGGCCCCCCCCCCCCCCTCCGGGGCCCCCCCCCCCCCCGGGACTCCCGCCCTCCCGGGAACCCGCCGGAAGCCCAGCCCCGCGCCGCCTGGGCTCGGGCTGGCTCGTCTCCGCCCCTCCCCGCGAGCGCCCCGCAGCGCGGCTGCCCCGGCCCGAGGCCGGAAGGGCTGCGTGTGGCTCCCCGCACCCCTGCCCCGGGCTCCCGCCGTGGAGCTGGCTGGGAGGAGGGGACGGAGCCCACAGCGCCTTCCCGGGAACCCCCGCCTGACACCCCGTCGTCCACCCCCCCCCGTGTGTGGTTCCGCCTCCCGCTGGCCGGCACCCGCCCCTCCTCGGATCCCGGGTCACCGCCCTGCCCCTTCCGGCTCCGGGCCTGGGGCCTCCTCCGCCAGAACTCCTGCCGGGGTTGCTTGCCTTCCTCCGCTCCTCGGCGGCCTCTAGCCTCTTCTGCAGCTCTTCCAGGGAGGCATCCTTCCTCTTGGGGGGGGAGGAAAGCACAGGGCTCTCCGGGGACAGGTCAGAAGGTGACTTGAGGATGACCTCAAAGCTCTGACCAGAAGCTCGCTTGTCCAGCTGCTTCACCTCCATGTCTGCAGAGCAAGACCAGACGGGAGGTTCAGAAGGCCGGAGACAGGGACAGGGTGAGGGGCACGCTCCCCCCACAAACCCCAGTCAAAGGCTGAGGGAGGGGTGCAGCTGCTTGACCCCCCCTCCCAGAAGCACCCTCTGCAGAAGTCACCAGGTCATAGAGTCAGAAGGGCCACAGAAGAAGGCGGGCGGGCAGTACCCAGCTGGGTAGGGCCAGCAGCAAAGTGGTCACACTTACCCCCATACTGGTAGATGGTGTTGGGGTGAGGCTGTGAGTAGAAGCAGGAGCAGATTAGTGACAGCACGGACAGCTCCTTCATCTTCTCCTTGTAGGCTGTGGGTGTGAGGCCAGGGTGAGCAGGGGCCATCACCTACAGACCCTGTACCCAAGCTCTGCCTCTCAGAGTCTCCTGCCTCTGGTGTGTCTCCCTGTCTCAATTCTGACTCTGGAATTTGAGTCTGGCAGTGCCTCTCTGCACGGTGCTCAAACTCAGGTCCTGGGTGCTATGAATTTTTTTTGCTCAAGGCTAGTGCTCTACCACTTGGTGGTTCAATGGATATGTGTCTTAGAGACTTTTCTTTTGTTTGGGAGGGGGGGCCCGGTTGTGGGGCCTGAACTCTGGGCCTGGGCACTGCCCCTCAGCTCTTCAGCTCAAGGCCAGCACTCTACTCCATCTCTCCACTCCAGTGGTTTTCTCCTTGGCTTTTCCATCGCATTCTCCTGCATCTCTCTGTTTGTTTTGAGACAGTGTTGCCATATACCTGGGGGTGGCCTCCCACTCTCAATCCTTAGGCCTCCACCTTCAGAACACCAGTGCTCTGCACACTAGTGGGCTTGTTCTACCATGCCCAACTTGTGTCTTCTCCCTGCCTGTAGTTGTGTTTATGTTCTACCAAAATTCACATACTGGAATCCCAACCTCCTCACCACAGTGCTAGGAAGTGAGACCTTTGGAAGATGAGGTGGTGATGACCATGGAGCACTGCTGGATGGGATTTGTGCTCTTACAGCACAGGGTCCTGAGTGCTCCCTCAGCCCTTCCAGTGTGTGAGGACACAGGAAGAAGGAAGCATCTACGAACCAGAAAGCAGTTCTCACCAGAAAACCAAGTGGTATCCTGACCATGATGGTCTCATCTCTCCTCATTTATTCTGTGAGGAATGAATGTGTGCTGCCCGGGAGCCAGCAGCCTCCAGTGTTTTGCTGTGTCAGTCTGGACACACTAGGACACTTTTTGTTCCGTATGTGATCATGGGGCTTGATCTCAGGGCCTGGACACTATTCCTGAGCTTTTTTGCTCTAGGCTGGTACTCTACCAGTTCAGCCACAGCTCCACTTCTGGCTTTTTAGTAGTTTAAGTTTTTTTTTTTTTTTTTGGTCTGGTTGTGGGGCCTGAACTCTGGGCCTGGGTGCTGTCCCTCAGCTCTTCAGCTCAAGGCTAGCGCCACTTCCGGCTTTTTTCTTATGTGGTGCTGAGGAATCGAACCCAGGGCCTCAGGCATGCAAGGCAAGCACTCTACCACTGAGCCACCTTCCCAGCCCTAGTTTAAGTTTTTGGAGATGAGAGTCTCACAGACTTTCCTGCCTGGTCTAATTTTTAATCAAGATCCTCGGATCTCAACCTCCTGAGTAGCTAGGAGTACAGGCCTCAGCCACAAGTGCCCAATGTCCAGACTAAGGCCCTTGTATCTGTCTTTCTGCCTTCCTGAGTTGGCCTGCCATTGTGTTTATAACCTTGTTTATCTCTGGCCACAACCCCTCTGGTGTGGTCTAGTCTTCTGGTTGTCTTTCTCTACAATTCTGTGTCACTTCTCTCTGTGGCTTGTATGTCCCCATTACAACCTTCCCTCTCCCTTTCCAACTCATGCAGACAAAATTATCCATCGCTTTCATGACTAGGCCACCACCCATGTAAACAGTATCCTCACCTTCTCTCCTGTTCTTCCTCTTAGCCTGCTGTGTTTCTTGCTTTGTTGCCCAGTTTGAACTTGAAATTTTGTTTCAATCGGTCCTTTCTAGGTATCCCAAATAGCAAGAGCTACCAACATGTACATCTGTGCTTGACTGGGCAGTCCCTTCTGAGCTGTAAGTCTGACTGAAGCCCTCAGTCCTCCCTGATTTCCCCAGGGATAAGATAGCTACTGAGAGGCAAAGCCAGGCCTTTGCCCTTCCATGTAGGCTTGGGCCCCAGGTGCCATCAAGGACAAAGAGAAGGGATGTATCCGTTCAGCACCACAGCCCACATCTTGCCCTTCTAGATCAAGTGCCTACCAGCCAGTGTTCCTGCTTGAGTCCAAGCAGAAAAAGAGATGAACCTGGCAATGATATCCCTGACCTCATGTCAGAGAAGATGTCTCCTGCTCGAGGATTAATCTGGCTGTTCATGGCTCATTCTCTGTGAGCCAACTCCAGCTTAGGCATGTGGCCCATTGTTTCAGCAATGCCCAGGAATTCTGTAAGCTACCCTGTTCCACAGGGGAGACAGTGGGGCCCGGCTTACAGGGAGACATGAGCAGCATTCCTCAAAGGACAGTTCCAGGTGGTCTATGTTCCTTCCATCAAGCTAGCAGCTTCCAAAAACTAGAAGACTCTAAGACCCAGGCAGCAGCCTCCTGGGCTGAAGATAAGCTTTTTCTTTTTCTTTTTTTTTTAACTCTGAGTCTGGACACTGTCCCTCAGCTCTTCAGCTCAAGGCAAGCCCTCTACCACTTGAGCCACAGCGCCATTTCTGGTTTTCTGGTGGTTTACTGAAGATAAGTTTCACGGTCTTTCCTGCCCAAACTGGCTCAGCCTCCTGTGTGTGAGCCACCATTGCCCAGCTGAAGATAAACCTTCTTACATTGGAAGAAGGAATCCAGTTGCTGTGTACAGTTATCTAACCGTGTCTTTTGAAAAGACAGATAAGAATTTGCACAAGCATTTAGATGGACAAGAAACTTTCTGGTCACATTTCACACAGACGATGTTTTTAAACTGTGTTGATGTGGAATTGGGAAAACTGTTAGTGTAGAAAGAGGACACAGAAGAAATGACCAAACACTTTGTGATGAACTGGATCTTTCCACAACATTTCAGTGAGTGTTTATATTTGATCTAATTTCCTGCTGACCTGGACTAATTTGAAAGCAACACAGAGCCAAGAGGCTTTCAGGGAGCAGAAAGGAATCTCAGGGAAGACCAGAACCAAGGAGAGGTTCTGAGGGGAAGAAGCCACATGTCTTGCTCATTGTCGTCAAGAGGGTTCAAAGAGAAATGGAAAGAGGGTCAGGAGGGGAACAGGCCTCAAAGAGCTTTGGCTTGACTTGTGGTTTTATTCTTTCAAAAGCAAGATCTACTCGTGTACTATTTGTGTTATTGAAGCAAATTCAACAAGGGAAACAGAAGCCCTGTTTACAGGCAGCATCCGGTCAAAAGACATGGGTGCATCCAGCCGTGTGCTCAGGGTGAGGGGGGGGGGGTAAGAGAGCCTCTGGGCTGGAGCAAGGATGAACCTGCATCCAAGGAGAGGCCAGGAAGGAGGGGGCTTGACTCAGCCCCCACCTTCCTGTTAACAGACTCCGGAATGATCTCTCAGATCATTCTTCCTCTTCACGCATCCAACACCCCAAATGGATTGTCTTATGGGCCAGTACTTGGGGCTGGATATCTTGTCGGAGGTCCTCCGCTTGTGCCTGAAAGGTACACAGGAAAAGGGGCTGCAGCTAGCTGCAGACAGGGAGCAGCTTAAGGACCTGGTAGCTGTCACCTGCTCCTGGGGCAGGCCCCCGGGGTCAGGGAGGCCAGCCGGCCGGCCAAGAGCCCTGCGCCCTCGGGAGAGGTGCAGAGAAGGCCTGGGGGCCGGTGCGCGGTCGCGGCCGGGGGAGGGAGGAGGAGCTACAGACGTGGTCAGTTTGGCGCCGAGGGCCCCTGCGGAGCTTCCCGGAAGACGGGTCCTCGAGGAGCCAACGGACCGGAAGAGGACGGGCGTGGACCGACCCTGCGGGAAGCGGAAGCGGGCTTCGGGGCGGGGAGCTGGCCCGCAGCCAGCCCGGCGGGGTAGAGAAGGCGTCCCGGGCCGAGACTGGAGCCTAGGCGCGCGGCGCGGGTCCCCGCCGCCCGAGATCTGGGGATGCGCCGGAGGCCGGGAGGCTGGGAGAGCAGAGTGGGCCAAAGCCACGCACAGGGAGCTTCCCGGGGGCGCGGGAGGGCCGGGGACCCCCGGTCGGGCGCGCCGGTCACCTCCTCGCCAAACCCGGCTCCGGGGGCGCGGGGAGACCGCGGTGGGAGCTGCTGCGGCGGAGCTTGGTGGTGCGCCCGCGGGCTGCGGGCTGCGGGCTGCGGGCTGCGGGCTGCGGGCTGCGGGGCGGAGGCGGCGGCCGGGACAGCCGCCCGCACACAGGTGCTGGGGAAAAAGGAGCCGCCGGGTGGGCGTGGCGAGGGCGGAGCCTGCGGGGTGGGGCGTGGCCAGGGCGGAGCCGGCGGGGTGGGGCGTGGCCAGGGCGGAGCCGCCGGGTGGGGCGGGGAGCGTGGCGGAGCTCCCCAGCGTCCGGGCCGCTCTCGGGCAGGCGGGCTCCCTGGGAAGGTTCGGGAATGAACCCGCATCCCGGCCGCTGGCCCCGGAGCCGCGGTGCGAATGGCGGCGCGCCCGACGGGCGCCGCGCTCGGTCCTGCTCGCCCTGCGATTCCGCCTCGCCCTCTCCGGGCCCCTCCGTACTTCCCTCGCCCCCTCCTGCAGAGGGCCCCGCCCTTTCTACTAACGCCCCGCGGGCACACACCCCGCAGACACACGCTCGGCGGGCACACACGGCCGGCACACACCCCGCGGGCACACACCCCGCGGGCACACACCCCGCGCACACGCACGGCCGGCACACACCCCGTGGCACAC